CTATAATTTTCCAATGCTTCTGAACAATGGAAGACACATTTTTAAAATCAGGATGGTAAGTGAGTACCAGGGGTGTTCTGTTAGCTGCTTTATTCTTATCTTTGTACTCTAGAAGTTCTTGGCGACTAGTTTTGTTAGCGCTTTTGAAAGAGCAAACAATGGACAAATTTAATATTCGGCTCAATAACCATCGTTCATGGTACAAAACCAACAAAAATTGTCCTCTCACAATACATCTTCGTTCAACGAAACATTCTTTTGATAATGTTACTTTCCAAATCATAGAAGTCAACACCGAGTGGGACACCACGGCGAGAAGGAGAGAGAAAATTTTTGGATCCACCTACTCCACACTTTAGAACCTGATGGTCTTAACGAAAAAAATGAGAAAAGATAAGGAAAGATAAAGAATAATTTAGTACACAGCATCGTCCTTTTTATCCTGTAATATTTGCCAATGGACGTTGCTAACTTTAACTACCAATTTTGTAAAAATCTTCAACTTCATCCAAATTATGTATTATTTTCAAGGCAGCCAAATTCAAGTGCAACATATACATTCAGCTGCAAAAGTTTCTTATCATCTACATCCGATTTCACCTGGATAGATGCACGCTTGATAAAGCTAGTTAGTCTAGCGAAATATTGCGTTTATTTTCATCATTTTGTAAATATTTTAAACATTCTTATATTTACATACTAAATAGTGTGTTAAAATTACATTGTTAGGCAATCTATAATTTTATTTGTGTAATTGAATTAATCTCTGTACTGATTAATCCACACTCCCATAGATTTGTATGTCATGTGCTTTTTATAGGCACTTATATTATATATATATATATATATATACAAGTCTAAATTGAAAACAACGTTCAAACCTATGCTTGCGTTGGATAAAAACCGCAATTTTATACGTGTGCATGCAAAACAAATTTCTTGGTAGAGGGGTCTAAATACAGCACAAACAAAATTTTCCAAAAGACCAAAAAAGTTAAAAAGTATTTTTTTTTACAAAACATATTTGACTAGCAGGTCGAACAACGGATGTTCTTGAACCCTGCTGACTGCCATTGGCGATTGCCAAATAAACGGATCACTAGATGTAACAATATATATATATATATAATACCGTTTCGATTCCTAACATCACTGAAGAGACATTAATTGTCGAAATCCGGATATGGTGTACAAAAACCTTTGCACCTTTTGTTTGCGGTATACAATCTTTTCCGCAAGTTTATTGTTTTCTGTTTAGTATTAAATTTATAATTAAGATCCATTTATTACATCGGTGATCCGTTTATTTGGCAATCGCCAATGGCAGTCAGCAGGGTTTAAGAACATTTGTTGTTCGACCTGTTAGTCAAATGCGTTTTGTTAAAATATACTTTTTCACTTTTTTGGTCTTTTGGAAAATGTTGTTTTGCTGTATTTAGACCCCTCTAACAAGAAATTTGTTTTGCATGCACATGTATAAAAATTGCGGTTTTATCCAACGCAATCATAGGTTTGAACGTTGTTTTCAATTTAGACTTGTCTTTTTTTTCGTTTCGGCTTGTATTATATTTGCCTTCGGGTTTAAATGATCTGTTCATCCTATTTTGACTCCTCAAAATTCAAGAGTCTATCCTAAATTGAGGTAAACTGTATGGCTTTCCAAATACCGTTTCGATTCCTAACATCACTGAAAAGACATTAATTGTCGAAATCCGGATATGGTGTACAAAAACCTTTGCACCTTTTGTTTGAGGTATATAATCTTTTCCGCAAGTTTATTGTTTTCTGTTCAGTATTAAATTTATAATTAAGATCCATTTATTACATCGGTGATCCGTTTATTTGGCAATCGTCAATGGCAGTCTGCAGGGTTTAAGCACATCTGTTGTTCGACCTGTTAGTCAAATGCGTTTTGTTAAAACATACTTTTTCACTTTTTTGGTCTTTTGGAAAATGTTGTTTGATCTGTATGTAGACCCCTCTAACAAGAAATTTGTTTTGCATGCACACGTATAAAAATTGAGGTTTTTATCCAACGCAATCATAGTTTTGAACGTTGTTTTCAATTTAGACTTGTCTTATTTTTTTGTTTGGGCTTGTATTATATTTGCCTTCGGGTTTATATTATCCGTTCATCCTATTTTGACTCCTCAAAATTCAAGAGTCTATCCTTAATTGAGGTAAATTGTATGGCTTTCCAAATACCGTTTCGATTCATAACATCACTGAAAAGACATTAATTGTCGAAATCCAGATATGGTGTACAAAAACCTTTGCACCTTTTGTTTGCGGTATATAATCTTTTCCGCAAGTTTATTGTTTTCTGTTTAGTATTAAATTTATAATTAAGATCCATTTGTTACATCGGTGATCCGTTTATTGTTCTCTACTGTTAAGTTGTCTATTTTATCCGTGAAAATGTCCGGGTGGGAAAGTACATCAGAATTGACGCTCACACTACAACATACCAAATTTCCTACTCATCAGCACAGGAATGGTGACATGATTTACAATTTCTTATTATTTCCCTACAACGGAATTTTTGACCAACGAGGATAAGATTGAAAGCTATTGACCATATCTTTAACGCACACCGTGTCTTTATCGGCGATCCAAAGTCTCAGTCACCTATCAATGCACAATTTGTGTACATTCCCTTCGGAAATGTTCTGGACCGGAACTGCCTCAAATGAAAAGTACGAAGTATCAACAGAGCGCATTGCCTACTTTTATATCTTTCTTGGATCTGAAACCTTTTTGGCACTGCAGGGGTTCAAATATGCAACCTTACGTATTTTTTCATGTCAACCATACACACTTTCAGTACTCCTCTGCATTTCTTTACGACAAAGTTCAAACACTCTTAAATATGATTTTGGGATCCTGAATATGCGTGTTGCCAACGAGCAGAAAAAAGCCTCCCATTCTTTCGAACTGCGGATATTTTACAATATATTTAGGCAGAACAACTGATTCATTTGTTTATTGTACTATTTCTGGTCTTTTTGCTTTCCTAAGACAGTTTAACGCTGATACAAGTAAGCTTGATAACGTCTCCTAACACACTGATACCTTCTCCTCAGACATTGTGACGTCGCTGATAAGTTTTGCTCACGTTTCAAAGCAATGATGAGATAATAACCGAGCGACTGAGCAGCTTGATATAGGCGAAGGGAAGAATCATAATGGATCTTAATAAGGCAGTTAAACTGTAACCGCAATCTTGGATTGCACAAGAGCAGTACACAATCGGTCTAGTATTTTGCTTAAATCTGCAAATTTTGAGACAGAATGGCAATTCATGTGAAAAATTGTTTATTTAAATAAAGAAAAAAAAATTATGTACTGTATTATAGAGTCTGTTTTTACAAATACTGAATATTTGTATTGTTTGATTTAATTTTTCAACTTAGCTATATAAGAGGAAATAGCTCTTAAAGTACATTTTTTATAAAGAAATGTTAATGAAATTTTCAATTTTTACTAGAAGCAAGAGAACAAGTTCGGGGACACCATTTTTTCTTTTTATTTCCTGAAAGCATATTATAAAACCTAGTGTTTTTGAATATATCATGTTTTGAATGTATGTTATCTAAACCCACTAATTATTTAAGCATATTATGTTTTTTGTTCATTTTTACCTACTCTAGAAGACTTCGCGGTGATTTTTTTCAAATTACAATGCTTAACATTCTATAATATGTTCGTTTGATTTTCCAATGATGCAAAAAAAAAAAACCTCTAATACCGTGTTTACACTATGGAATCTGCTACAATGTATATATTGTAATTCACAATTTAAAAAAAAAAAGGTATGTTCAGTTGCAGGGCTGTTATGATAATATTGAATTGGCTACTTTAGAAGGATGGATATATGGATGAACAGAATATAAGACAGTCGGGCTTAATAACAAAATAATTTCTACAATTCTATAAATGTCACACACACATAAATATCATATATATTTTAAGTATTCTTTTGATTTCAATAAATCGATAAACTTTGAATAATTTGGATATCTTTTCCTTGGTTGAAAAAAGGAAGCAGATATCAAGGGTTTTATCTTAAACCATGTATGTCGAGGAAACACAAATAACACTATGACCAACGATAAAAAAGTCGTACAAACAAAAAACCACCCACACAACACTAGTTATAAGAATTGCATTTTTTTTTAAATATGTCGCTATAAAACTTATTTGAGTTCGACTTGGAATTACTGAATTCGTTCTATAAGTTAATACATTTTAAAGAAGAAAATAGTATCTGTGATCAATTTATATTATTATATTTTTGACAAAGGTTATAGAAAAAAGTTCCTGCTTCATAAATATTTCTTTCTTGCAATATGCATCATATAGATATAGTGATTTACTTCCATGTTAGATATTCTTGCCATATATTTTAGTGCTTCTACCTTTACACATAAAACCAGAGGCAGATCCAAGGGGGGGGGGGGGGGGGGGGGGGGGGGTTCCGGGGGTTGGAAACCCCCTTTTTTGACGATCAATGCTTTTGAATGGGGACATAAGGTTCGAACCCCCTTTTTAAAAATGGCTTGACCGCCCCTGAAAACTATTGGATTTTGACCTCACTTTGAACTTGATGAATGTTTACTGCTTTATAAAACGCGTTCTTAAAATTTCTACATCTAAAGCGCACGACCGGACATTACGCACCCACTTGAATCCGCCACAGGAGTAAGTTTTATCGAAATGTCTTTAAACAACTATAAATAAACCAATATGGTTATTTTCTTGATACACCCATATACGTCATATTCGTACCCTTTAATTTATAAATAGATTTCGGAAAATATATTTCAAATATAAACGACTGCGATATGAAAGCGAAAATTGTGCTAAATTGACAATATATAATATATTTTTTGTTTATTTGTTGTATCTTACTAAATTAAGTTTGGTATAAATTCATTTGATTTTAACCATATATCATTGCTGTTAAAAAATGAAACAATCATACATCTACATATAAATACCCCGCTTATCCTTCGAAACCGCATTGCACTGCTACATTGATTCCACACATCATCATTAACTACACCAAACAGTTTTAAAAAGTATTAAAGTTTGTAAACATAATGTTAAGTCCTGCTAGCTAAGTCGGTGTAAATACGTAGGGCTAAGCTTAAAGTAAATTCCTTTCACAAAAGGGAGATAATAAAAATTCAAGAGGCACAACACAGGAATTTTTATTTGTTAATCCCTCCCCTAAATTGGATATTTTTTTTTCATAAACATGTTAGTTACGCAATTTTGTTAATCTTCAAAATTAAAAATATAATTTCTTAGTACAACTACGAATTTTATATTAAACATTTTAAATAAAAGTTTCATTTTCCTATCATTTAACTGCAAAATTAAGAAATAAATTCAATTTCACAGTTTGCAGTTGAAACAGTGTGACTGTATAATAGAAATGTATCTGAATATAAATTTATTCGTTCGACGTTGCTACAAATTATTTCAATTTTTTTGTAAGCAGATGTCACTTCGTCATTGATCCCTGATTGAAAACGAATTGAAGGATAAGATTGGAGTGTCCGCTTTGATTGGATAGCTTAAATGGGACCATTCATTCATTCATTTCTTTATTTCCTTTTCATAGAGATTACATTAATTATATTATCATGAATACATCAATATATTGATAACAGAAATACAAATGATAAAGTTGTTAACAACACATTACTGAATAGACCTCAGCATTTTGTTGTAAAGTACGTACAAAAGTTTAAGACGTCAACAAGATCAGATATGTGTGAAAGAATGGTTGGGCTACGAAATATAACCTGTGAAATCGAAAACAGAAAAATCACAAAAATACTGAACTCCGAGGAAAATGCAAAACGGAAAGTCCCTAATCAAATGACAAAATCCAAAGCTCAAACACATCAAACGAATGGATAACAACTGTCATATACCTGACTTGGTACAGGCATTTTCTTATGTAGAAAATGGTGGATTATATTAATATCAATTGGGTCCAGGACCAATCCAGTATATCTTATTATAATCCTTCGTGATTAATTCCATTTTCTATGTGCATACATTTAGAGTAATTTAGAGCTGGTAAACTCAGTGTATGATAAATATTTCTGGTTATGGAATACATTCTCCTGGTTATGGAATACATTCTTCTGCATTTTACTTTCATATTTTTCTAGAAATTCACACTTGCATGTTTGTAGTATAATTATTGTGTGTGTATTTTTAGAATAGAAATCCAGATCAGGTCTGGGTTTCTGATACTAAAAAAGGTGTTTCGGTTATGGTCATGTAGACCTAGGCCTATCCTCATCAGGTATCCCTAGCCTATATGTTTCCTTTCTTGTAATATGTAGAATAGTTTCAATTTGAATTCTCTTATGGGGATACGACACCTGTTTATATAATCGTTTTTTATCTTTTTTCTTCTTTCTGTTATTTTAGTATGTTTTCCTCTTTTTATTTAAGCTCTTCAATTAGTTTATTGTGCGTGATATTTTTATCTTTTGTTTAATTTCGTCTGTTTATATCATTTTTCTTCTTTGAATTCGTTAAATACTCTTTTAGATTTTTATGTCTTTTGTATGTAAAACGTTTGCTCATTGCTTTTAATACTCTATTTGAGAGATAAAATATCTTTTTTTTTTGTTATTCTATTTGAGAGCAATTTAGTTATTAAAGCAGTCTCTATTTGAGAGATTACTTTATTTTTGCTATTCTATTAATAGCAGTCTCTTTTTGAGAGATTATTATATGCTGTTATTCTATTTGAGAATAACTTGTATTATCAATCTCTATTTGAGAGATGATTATTACTGGGTTTTTTTAAACAAGACAAAACAGTCCTTTACTTCCTATGTTATAGCGTTAAAATAGACCCTGCACTGTGTGATAGATAAGTGTGTGTATTTTATCAGTCCAATATTTCTATCTAATTGCTTCCGCGTGATTACGAGATCTCGTATGCTGATTGGTTGAGTCACAGATACATGCACGTGTATTTTTGACCTCACCTAACCTAAACTATATCTTAAAATAGTTCAGGAGTGCCCGTAACAGATACACATAATAATGTATTATTTTCTTCTTCTGGATCGATATTACTAATGAAAATAAATAGAAAATCCTTTACATACATTGCATATATATATATATATATTTAGATCTGATCAAGGTACAAACTTTGTAGGAGCAGTAAATGAACTTTCACTTCTATTTAATGACGAAAATGTTCAGGGATATCTGTCTAAAAAACAAATTGTGTGGACATTCAATCCATCCCATGCCTCACACATGAATGGTGCATGGGAACGCATGATTGGACTGGCAAGAAGAATTCTTGATTCAATGTTAACGGACATTCAAGGAAAGCAACTTACTCATGAAGTTTTATGCACATTAATGACAGAAGTTTGTTGTATCGTCAATAGTAGACCAATAATTGCTGTGTCAAGTGATCCTGAATCGCCTGCTATTTTGTCACCAAACACTCTTTTGACACAGAAAATTAATAGTGATATAGAACCGTATAATTTCGATTTTTCTGTGAAGGATAAGTACAAATCGCAATGGAAACATGTACACGTTTTAGCGAATCAATTTAGGAAGCAATGGAACCTACAATACTTGCATAACCTCCAAACTCGATCAAAATGGCCAATTGAAAATCGCAACTTACAAATTGGTGACATTGTGCTCATGATTGACGTTAGTATACCACGCAATTAGTGGCCAACCGGAATTATTGATGAAGTATTTCCTAGTAAAGTACCTCCCCTTATATGATGGCGGGAGCAAGAAAATCGTCCTGATAAAGTAGGCAAATCCTAACTCTTTATAGCCGTACAAACAACAAATAGCAGTACAAAAGTGAATAAATTCCATCTGTGGAGTTGTAAGTTTATTCTATTACAATCCACACATCATTTACGCAACAGTTTCATTTACGCCAAATGCAAAACACGTGTGATAAAACAGACAAAATGGCGGGTCTTGATCAAAATATTGTCAACGGAGGCCCTGAACTACTAGATATTATAGAATTTAGTATGGACAAAGTTTATAAAGATTACCCAGTGAAAATGTTTCTAAAGCTCCTTCACAAACGAACGGGTAAAGCAAAGAAGTGCTTATTTGAAGATATAGATATTAACCTATATGAAAAAGAAGCCAGAATGATCACCTTCTTCACAAATGTAGAAGGCATTCATCCATGGATTAAAACCCTTGATTTATTCTATTATGATCACATGGGAAATAATGATAAATTTGACATTAAATGGTACGATGTCCCGACAACTTGGTCCGACCCTAATAATAACAATAATTCAATTGTCATCGAAATATTGGATAAGGAACAAGCATTGCAGTTCAACATAACATTCTTCGTTACAACCGGGACAATCAGGGTCCAGGGATCTAAGTCCATGGCCTTTGTTCATTCTTACTTTCCTGTCCTGACACAAATCTTAGCCAAGGTGATTGATAATGCTACACATGCTACAGTTGAGGAACAGTTTGACCTAGATCAAACCTTAAAAGATGTTTACAACACAGTTTCATCTAAGCTTGATGATTCCCTAACATCCATCAAATCCACCATACACCAGGATGTGCATGAGCGCACAAATACACCTACCGTTACATGTAGCACGTCAGAAAACACAAATTTAGTGGACCACTTTTCTCGTATTGAAAAAAACAATAACTGAGGCTATCATACAAACAGCAAGCCAACAATCTAATGATTATACCAAATTGATGACAGCAATCACCACTTCGTGTGAAACTCTAACTACCATAATAAAAGCTAACCCTAGAGCTAAAGACCAATCTGAGGTTACCTCCCTTCAAAAGACAATATCCAAACTTCGCGATAGGCTTTAACATCTAGAGAACCAACTAAAAATTCAGGATGGTAACATTCAAATAGAAAGATCAAATAATGAAGTAAACATCAAAAGTTTAAAATTACTACTTGATGAAACAATGAATCAATTAAAGCAATCTTGTGAAACTTCCCAATATGAATTTTAATCAGTACACCGAAAAAATAAAGGTGAAAGATGACGAAATACAGCAATTAACACAAAATATCCAAAAACTGTTAAAAAAAATCTGGACACAGCCCAGGATGAAGTAATCCAACTCAAACTTCATATTGCTGCCCAGCTTGATGCTAACATGGCCAAGGAGACATCTGCTACTAATAAGGCAGCAACTAATCAACAGCAACATACATATGATACACAGAGCAAACCGAAAGTTCTTTTTCTAGGAAAATCAAACATTAAAGCCATAAACGAGGCTAAGCTGACTACTGCAGCTACTGTGGAAAAGGTATTGAAATATACATTAAAAGAAACAGTAGCTTTTGGAACTTCACATGAAGACAGACCAGATTTGGTTGTACTGCACTCGTTAACAAATGACCTGAAACATCTTACTGCACAGCAATGTATTGATGAACTTGATCAATTAATTTCTTTAATTCATGATAAATGGTCACTTGCTAAAATTATCATTTCTTTAACTACCCCAAGAAAAGATGATATTGGGTTTTTTACAAATGGCCAAATCATAAATGCCTTAGTTAAGCAGTCAATTATTGGTAATAAAGTCTCGACTGTGACATATTGTGAACATAATAATATGCTGTTACAAGGAAATCCCATCAATGATTTATTAACTGATGATAAATACCACTTATCTACAAAAGGGGTGTCTCTTTTGGCCAGTAATATTAAAAAATCAATACACAGTGCCCTTGATATTTCTATGCCTACCCCGCAAAGAGGGCGGTCTCAATCCAAGGGGCGACGAGGTTATGGTAGGGGGCACAAGAAGACATTAAACTGGGAATAAGCTGTGTTTCAAATATCAATCAGTTAGTTTCTTTGCTTTTTTCTCTCTCTTTATTTTAATATAAAAAATATTCACAGGGTGACTATCAGAGATTGTTTCCTCTTGTCTCTTGTTTATTTGAGGGGGCACTTACATGTACATGCATAACGGCAAGCTCACATGCACACAAATTCTAAATATTGAATTATATATCAGACCGTAATGTTTTTTTTTGTGTTTTTAATTTTGTACTTGTTATGTTTTGTCGTTATCTGACATCTTACCTTGCTGCAACTATGCAACAA